TATTTTCTTCCTATACCAATGGGATGGTAAAATGACTCTACCCTGAAATAGGAATCATATTGCTTATCTTCTCAAAGTTCTTCTCTTACTCCCAACTTCAAAGTAGGAAAACTGAGAGTTGAGGAATATAAGGCTTTGTGGGGAGTAGGGAGAAATAGATGCTACACTAAGGAAAGCTCTTTTACCCAAATTTGGTTGGTAATGTTTGGATATAGACAGATGATTCATTTTTTATTTTTTGCTCTTCAGAAATTTTTAGACTGCTCTCTTCAAGCCCAATATGATGGTCATAATATATGTGTTTTGTTGTAAATATTTGCATAATATTTTAGTGAAACCTTTTGTTTTTAAGAAACAAAGACTCATTAAAAGCAAATAGGAAAAGGATGGGTTGGGGTGATTTTAAGTAACAAATCTCTTAAAGTGATATGTGCACTCCCATGTTTACTGCAGCGCTATTCTCAATAGCCTAGATATGGAAACATCTTAAATGTTCATCAAGCAGATAAATGGATTTAAAAAAGATGCACGTATACACAATGGAGAAATATTATTCAACCATGAGAAAGGAGGATAGCCTGCCACTTGCAAAAACATGGATGGACCTTGAGCACATTATACTACATAAGGTAAGTTAGAGAAAGATAAGTATTATATATTACTTAATTTTGGATTTTAAAAAGTCCAATTTCTAAAAATCAGAGCAAACTGATTTCCCAGGGGATAGGGAGTGGAGCAATATGATTGATGTTTAAGGCTACAAGCTTGCAATAATTGGCAAATTAGCAATGGAGATCTAACATACTGTATAATGAATATAGACAATAATGGCCTATTGTATAATTATGTAATGTGATAAATATTGCTCCACTAGCAATCATATTACAATATATGTGTATAAAAGTAATACATTATATACCTTAAATTAACACAATGTTATATGTCAAATATATTTAATTAAAAAAAATCTCAGGGTCAATATACAATGAAGTATATATTCTGTCTTCATAGGGAGAATAAGAACCCAGAAAACATCAGGATGAAGGCAGCTATTCTCTCTAGCTCACTTGTTTTCTGAATCCCAAATTTCTAGGGAAAAAATATGATTGGTATTATTATAGTTTATAGGTCAATAGTCAGCTGATAGATTGGCTACACCTGTGTCAGGCCCCCAGCAGGGCTGGTTCCATGGTTAGATGCAAGGTCATGAGACATATAGGACTGCTTATTTCAAGGGCTATGCATATAGGTACTTGGAGTCATGTCAATTACACTTTCAAGATGTTTAATGACTTTCTGATTTTATGAAGTTGTTAAATTTGCATGATTCTATGGTGTTTCAAAAGACAGAGCAACCTGGATGCTTTAGACGGAAAAAATGTAGACAACCCTTATTTAAACTGTTTGACAAAACTTCAGTTTCAACTGCTTTCTCCAACATACAGATTTTATAGCCTTAGCTCTGGATATAACTTCATGCCAAAAGACATGCAGCCAGCTCTGTTCACATTGGTCCCCTCCCTCACAGAGGAGTAGAGATAGGTCATGGCAGAGATGAGATCTGAGGTCTTTCTCTCTTAGGAGGATACATGGCAGAAACCTCTACTCTGCTCTGCCATATATTACCTCACTTTTCCACATTGAACCTCTAGTCCCATCTTTTTCTAATTACCGCCCAACATTACCGATTCCAATTTTTCATTGTTGAAAGCCAAATTCTTCCAAAGGCTAAAAGAAGGATTCATGACTGTTGGCATTTTTCTAGTGTGGGAGACACTTTACTAGTCCAAGGCCCTGCAGAGGCTATCATCATGACCACGACATGTATCCGATCCTCTAAGAGAATAGGCTCACACACTATGTATCTGCACCTTTGGTTAGAAAGTGTTAGAGCCTCAATAAAACACTAAAGCAGAAGCAATCCTCTTTGGAGGTGGGTACGATCAGGAAACTTTCAGAAAAGGCTCTACAGGTAACTATTTGGCTGGGTTGCTAAAGGCAGAGGGATGATTTGCATATTCAGAGAATGTGCTAGAGGTGGGATACAGCCAATTCTGCAGCCCTGAGAGGAATTGTTATTAAGCTCTAGCATCCTCTCCCAGGACAAGTTTATTCCACTGCACTCTTTCCCTCATTTGCCACCTGCCTCTTTTTAACATTCCTTTTAAAAACAAACACCACCCTCACACCCTAACCAGCGCGCTTTGTGGAATTTTTATGTTCACTGTTCCCACCTCCTCCCTAGGCATCTAAGAATGAGGAAAGAGTGTTCCTGCTTTTCTCTTTCCCTTGCTGCCTTTGCTATTCTTTGTCAGGAATTCACTACTAGACATTATAGGCTAATATGAAAATAACATTAGAAAGTTACAAAGTTTTCATAATCATGAAAGGTTCAGGCTGACTTCTTTCTGAGATGGTAATTTAAAAGTTTGTTTGGATTTCTGCTATTTACCTTTATTCTTGAGGATTAGCCACTGTCAGGGGAAGCAGAGGCCCCATTTCCCACCTCAATTTCCCAGCAGTTAGAGCCACCAAGGTGGTGGGGCTAGCAGGTGAAATGCTTCCTTTTCTCAAGTAAATAATTTGCACTTCTATGTACCCAAAAGGATGGGAGACAATGCACTGGAAATCTGGATTGAAGCCTTGCAATTTGCAAGTAAAAGGCACATTTGTAAAGGAAAACCTTGTTGGCAAAAAGAGTTGGGGTTTTGAGTGCAAAGAGCACAATCTTCAGAATCATTTCAGTTGTATTCAAGGGCAGAACATTGAAAGTGGAAAAAATAGAAGCCACAAGAAATTCCCTTCAAATCGTCTCTTAGTGATTTAGCCAATAGAAGGATAGAAGGGAGGTGGTGTTACTGAAGGTCACATATTGTAAGATATAGGATAAAATTTTTGGAGGAGAGGATGTAACACATGATCTAAGAGAGTGTTTATAATCAATGGAGGAAAATTCTGGGGTGGGAGGATGGCCAATGTTTAAGAGCACAAGTGAAGTGTGAGCTCAGAACAGAAGGCTGGCACCCTTCTCAACCAGGACTGAAAGAAGTGATGAAGTGTGAAAACTGAGACTGAGGTTTAGGAAAGTTAAGTTGAGAAACCTCACGGTGGATGCCTCAGTCAAGTAGGAGACAAGATCATTAGCAGAACTGGAAGAAGACCAAGTACAGTGGAGGCTGAGTAGAGCAGAAATAGGACAGTTTTGGGAGAAGTGCCCTGAATAATGTCTTTGCATCAGTATCCTAGATAATCACCCTCCTGATGAGGAAAGGAATTTAGAGAATCAGTGAAGATCCAGCCAAGACTGGATAGCATAAACTTTTAGTGGAACAAAGTAATTTCTTTATCCAACAATGCTGGGTTGTGCAGGAGCAAGTTTAAAAGAAATCTTTCACTGGAGCATAAAAATGACTAATAATAATGTGAATGACAACATTTTAAGGGATATTATTCATAGTGAATTTTAGTAACATTTAAATCATTACAAACATGAAATACACAGTACCAAAATACTCATCAAACATGTGATCTGAGAAATATGCAAAAAAGAAAAGACTACAGGAGTAAAAAATAAATTAGTTCTTGTTTCTTTCCTTTTATGTTAGCCTAAGGCAAGGAAAAAGGAAATATCAATGTTTTTCTTTCCATTTGACATATCTTCTATTGATTATTATAAAATTTTTTTTTAAAAGTCATTGGTATTTTGTTAGTACATTAAAACTGAGTTTTATTTATAAAAATTTGCACTTTACTTTTTCTATTCTCTTATAAACAAACACCAAAAAGAAAACAAAAGGCTGAAATTGAAAGCATGATGAGCTAATTTTCATGATGGCAAAGCATGAGACAGCACTCCAAGGTTCCTTCTGATTTCTTCCCAATTCTGTAAATATTTAGGGGGGGGAGCACTCATATGTTTAGCTGTTTTGTTTCACAGTCCAATCCTGCATAGGATTATGGACAAAGTTCGAATTTTACTACAAATTGTGAAAGACACTTTCTAATTAAGGTACCATTCAACAATTCTTGTTTATTTCTGTAATTTTTAATTATGGCAAGATAACAAACAATAGCATATTATCCAACTTAAAACTCAGGACACTAGAAAGACATATGTGGCTTGCACACACATTAATCTGTTGCTTTTAACAAAATATTTGTAATTTCCAAAATTCTATCAGTTTTTTCATACAATATAGTCCCTCCAAATTGAAGGGCAGTAGCCTAAACATAGTCTTCTTACTAAAAAAACTAGTGTAAAAATGGAAAAATCAACAAAAAGAAGGAATATAAGAATATCAGTGACTATATCACAAAACAAAATAATGCTTAAAAGCCCAATATGTTCACAAAGTTCTATTTTAATAGCTAGTATCTAGATATGAAAATTATTTACAAAAAACAATTGGTATTTACAAACTAGCAAAGTGACTTTAAATGAAAGCAAAGCACTTATAATTAAAGCTCAAGATTTTCTGTGTGACTCCATGTCTCAGTTTATTTCTTTATCAGACTTAGAGATAAACTTGAAAGTATGCAGAAAACAAAATCTACCAAGTGTAATCTATTTCCTTTACTCTTGTGAAATCATCAGAAGACATGAAGGACCAATTGCCTGTGTCTTGCCCCACCTTGTAAACTCTTAGGGGAAAAAGCATGCACCTGTCAAGCTTATAGTGCAGAATGCACACACAGATGGGCGTTTAATAAATATCCTTCAATGGAGAGATTAGAGGTTTTCTTTGGGAGGCAGGGAATACATCTCATGCACTGACTAGATGACATCGATCATACAATACGTCAGCCTGTTTCCTCATCAAAATATCATCCAAAGGAAGTCTTTGAATGATGTTTAGTCTCCTTTAAGTCTTTAGACCCAAAATTTTGATGCAAGATCCACCCCAGGGAAGGGGGAGTGGTTGGGAAAAACAAGTAGATTTGATATGGTTCAGTGACGTCAGGAAGAAGTAATGATTTAAGGGATGGGGTTGCAAACTCACCTGGAGAAGCAGAAGGTGCACACGTGTCAAAGGCCAAAGGGCAGAGGCCGAGGGACTCCCTAATCGCAGAAAAAGTGAAATGCCCACTCCCAGGTTCTCAAGGATTCCTTTAGGGGCTCAGCTGTCCCTGCCTTTGACGCGACGGACTAACCCTTCCATGCACAGCTGGGTTTGATGGGGAGACAAAGCGAAAGCTATCCCAATTTCAATCAGCACTCAGGAATCCCTCGGTAGCTCTTTCCTCCACCCCCTCCCGCACCCAAAGCCAGAGACACCTTCATCCTCACTCCCCACCTTCTCCAGGCCCTCTCGCTCTTAACAGCATCGGTCTCTATGGCGACCTGAAACCTCAGTTCCCATTGGTCAGTTCAATATGAGGGCCGGTCCAATGGGAAGGGCCAGCCTTCTCCTTCCGACCAATGGGATAGGCAGGGAGCAGGTCCGGAGACGGCGGCGTGCTGACGTTCCCGGGAGCCTGGTGCTGGCTGGGCAGGCGGGCTGGCGGCTGGGCGGGCGGCGGCGGCCTCTGGGCAGTAGAGGGGGCTCCGGGGCTGAGTCCGCGTCGACGCCGGCCGCGGAGGCGGCACCATGGGCAAGGGGTAGCGGGGCAAGTTGGCCACCGCCGCCGCCAGGGGTGGTGGGAGAGCCGCTTCGGGGTAGGGGGCGGGTGGGGGAGGGAGGGGCGG